ATTTGATGTAACAATACTATCAATGTATAGTTGCATTGTGACCACAATTTGTTCCAGTTTTAAATTATATCGGTGGAATTTTACGGACCAAAATTTAAGTATTAGGAGATTTGGGGAAGGCTTAGAGCACTGTCTCCTGCATTATATTGCAGCCGCGTTCAAGGAGTCTGGATTTTTGGTTTGTCTTTGCGAAATGCTAGCTCTGTTCGGGCTGTGTGTCACGCCCGGTGGCTTCTTTCTGCTCCTGGCTCTACAGTTGGCTGTTTTGCATGTTTAATGTCCTGCCTGATTTTTATGGGCTGCATATAATGAATGCCTCTATGATGGATCTTCCTTCTCTCGGTCTGTTCGCTGCCTAGGTGCATCAGACTCCGTTCTTCTTTCTGAAGGTTTAATTGCCAGGTTTGTTGCACCGCCATCGGTAAGGTTAAAGCTCAATACGGATGCATTGTTCCCTACCAGTGGCGCGGCGGGCAAGGCTTGCCTCAGGGACTCTCGTGGATAGATTGTTGCTGGGCTTTGTTTTCGTTGTCGACTTCCTCCGCTCTTGAGGCCGAAGCCTTAGTTTTGCATTATACTCCTCAATGGTGTGATACAATGGTTATGTTTCCTTCTTTTGTTGAAGTTGATTCTCTCACTCATGCTCATATTGTTTCCTCTACTATGGTGAGGATCTCGTGGAAGATAAAGGAAGCTATTCTCTTCATTTTTCTCGCCTCTTGTCGTGAGATTCTTCGTTAAGGCATGTTTATGAGAAGGCTAATCAGGTTGCCAATGCACTTGCGGCGGTGGGTCTCAGTGTTAACACGTCCTCTATTTTTTGTTCCCTTAATTCTTTGCCTGCCTGTAAAGGTCGAACTGGCTTTTTGTATGATCTTCAGGGTTTCCCCACCCATCAGGCTGTATGTTTGCCATTAATAATTTTTTTTTTTTTTTTTTTTTTTTGCTTAAAAAAAAGAACTGAATTTGAAAAATGAGTGTTCATCAACATGTATGAGTTATTAACCTCTTAAGTGTTCTATAGGACTAGGATGTGAGGATCTTAGAATTAGGGATATAACCTTTTGCGGGAAAAATTGAAAGCCAAGAATGAAAACTAGAAAACTATAAGCTAAATTAGGTCAAAAGATTAATTAATGTCCGATCTTAATGCATTCGTTAAAATGAGGTTGTAATGTCTCTCAATAAATATCAATACGGCCAATTTTAAATCAAGTTCTTAACTCATGTGTAACCCTACATAGCAAATTGTGGTTTTCTTCTAGTTTACATTGTAACTCTAAGACAAGTTAAGTCTATAATAAATCAAATAAATTATTCACTCAACATTTGTCAACTCTCTAATTGTTACTTAGTATTTATTTTTATAAGTTCGAGACTAGAATCAGATTTATTTTTTAATGAGTTAAATTTTTGTGATCAATTATGAATATCTGCTACGATAAATAGGTTCGATACCCTTTAGAAATTCAGATGAATGCTTGGTAAATTTAAATTTTAGGAGTGAGAGTTTCATTTTTCAGTACAATTTATTTTTCCGATCCATTTTTTCCGTTTTGAAAAAAATGAAACCATTCAATTTTAAATTTTAGTTAGGTTTGATTACGGTTCGATTTTGGCTAAAATTTCGGTTCGGATTGAGAAATAAAAACATTTCCTAATTCTTTTCCGAGAGTTAGACCCTTCCATCTTTCGGTCTGAGTTGATCTCTCGTCTTTCTCTTTGTCTTGATCTCTCCAAGCAGACTTATATATCATGCTAGTCTCAACTAAGATTCGTGCAAACCATACGTTGAGTTACAATGCCTTTCGTTTGCAACGAAAGTTCTAAAACAAAATAAAAATAGGGGTCTACAATCCTAGCAAGTTTGGTATCATCAAAATCTAATTACACTTGTTCTTAACAGTGTGTATCCATCTAATATTTTTTAATGGTATAGATTAGATTAAGTGTGTGCGAACGCGAATTAAATATGTACGTGCAAACACACTTAATCGCGTTTGTACACAATTTAATATAAATATTATAACATAATATCTTAATTGTTCAAAATTTTTAAAGGTGAATTTCATTCATCTCATATTATAGTTCATATTTAAAATTGGGAAAATTGTAAAAAATGTCCCTCTATAATATGTTAATTATCAATGTCACCCCTGAATTATGAGTGGTGTAAATGTTGCCCCTCAATTATCAAAATGGTGCACATATAGTCCCTCCCGTAACGGACCTGTGGTTCCCCACCGCTGTCCCTCTCTGGTACTTTGAATCGAGGGAGGGAAAAAGCAATTAAATTACATATTTACTCCGACTTAACGGTGTCGTACACTAACGGGGAACCACATGTCCGTTACGAGAGTGGCTATATGTGCACCGTTTTGTTAATTGAGGGGCAACATTTACACCACTCATAATTCAGGGGTGACATTGATAATTGGCATATTATAGAGGGGCATTATCTACAATTTTCCCTTTAAAATATTGGGCGGAGCAAATTTTATATGGATGGTGTATGTATTTATGTATATATATACACTTAATTTGAATTTGTGACAAGTACAAATTTTAAAATCCACCACTTACGAATATCGACAAAATAATTCTACACAAGCAATTAAGATTTAGCAAATGTTTGTGGTTTGTATTAAACAAGGCATTTGTTTATAATTCTTTCTTTTATTGACATTCATAAATACAGTGAGAAAATGTAGTGTTCATAAATACAATTAAAAATAACTAAGTATAGTGTATATTGTTGTTTGATATTAGTTTGTGGCTTGATGCTAAATAACAAATGATTTTCAATTTGGTCGCAGCTTAATTAATGCGTCGGAATCCTTTTACAATGAAAAGGTTCTCAATATCACATTTGACAATATCTCAAAGCAAAGTGTAATAAAAGACTTAGATTTATCTGTGTAGAAAAGACAAAGGTTTTTTTTTTTTTTTTAAATAATAATAGAGCTTTATTACACGTAATCTAGCTAGAGATGACCTTGATCCGAAATAGTCTAAGATTAATTGATTGTATTTATTACCCAAGGTATATTTCATTCTCGTAATTTCACAATTCATCTCGAAGTGTACAATTTAAAAATTTGCATCCGTTACGTTCCACCCAACCTGTATACCACTGCTGGAAATTATGGAATTTCCCATCACAAGTGATCTTAAATCAAGTCGAAAGCCTTGTTCCGACTACTTTTGGTATCCGGAAAAACCTTTGTTGCTATTTTCGACCACTTTTTGCTTTCGACTTGATTTAATATCACTTTCAAGTAGGCGAAAATTCCATAATTTCCAGCCGTGTACTAATTGTTTCTTATATTAATAAATAATTCAGAATTATAATATAAATATACATTAAAATTCAAAATCCATAACAGAACTAAATATAATATATAAATACTATAGCATAATAACTTAATTGTTAAATTTTTTTAAAGGCAAATAAATATATATCAAAGCTAATTACAGGGTCACAAAATAGAAATAACTGATAATCTCAATAAAGAACCCAAATGGATGGTAGAGGACTGCCCGTGAAGAAAAATGTCATGTAGCCATCAACCTCCTATATAACCTTTAGCCGAACTCAAGTGTTGTCCAGCTTGTCAAATTCTTTGCTTAATCATAGTTGTAAGTTCTCTTTTTCACTTATGAGATTATTTTTGGTTTGCTTTTTCTTGTTTTGTATGTGTTGCTTTGTTGTTTTTAGTTGAACTTGTAGTATAAATTTGCTAGTTGATTCACTTTTGGAATTTCATTATAGAGATTTACTTCTTTTTGTTCTTCACTTGCACTTAAAAGCATAGGTATGCTCTGTTGAGTTTGTCTCATATATGGATTAGGAATATGAGTTTGTCTCATACTAGAAGTAGGAGTGAAACGGGTAGACCCATTGTATAGGGATTAGATGCCTATAAATATATTGGTTGTATCCCTAATGGGTTGTGTCACCCCTATCACCATCACTATGAATATAAGAATAGTTTCACTCCCGTGGACGTAGGCACATTGCCGAACCACGTAAATCTTGTCTTTCTTTACCCTTTCTGCCATTATTTTTGTTCATGTTGCGTGGTGCGTGTTGCTAACCAGTGGCAACTACTGGTTAGTGGAGCATTGGGCAAGGCACACGGGTTTAGTGTGACTTTGCAGGGGCGCTGTTGTGTTGGGGAAGCGTGGATACCAGGAGGGGATATGGACCTGGTATAGGCTAGATGCAAGAGGTCAGCTGAACGGGCAGTTAGCATGAGTCGCGGCTGGTATAACAAGTCGACGGCTGAGGGCGAATGGCTTGGGACGAAGCGGTTCGTGTACATGCACTGGTAACGTTTGATGCTGCGTATGCGTGTGGCTGGCTAGTTGGGATGAGCATGGTTGTTCCTACCCATGTGTATATGTGAGACAAGTCTTTTTCTCCTAAGGGACATATTTGCTAAGGTGGAGATTTGTTGAGTTATCTTTTTCTCTCCTAAGGGACATATTTGCCAAGGTGGAGATAGTCTTTTCTCCGAAAGGGCATATATGTGAAGGTGGAGATGGTGAGATAAGTCTTTTCTCCTAAAGAGCATATTCGTCAAGGTGGGGATTTGTTGAGTTATCTTTTCTCCTAAAGAGCATATTCGCCAAGGTGGAGATTATTGAGTTTGTCTCATATATGGATTAGGAATATGAGTTTGTCTCAAACTAGGAGTACGAGTGAAACGGGTAGACCCATTGTATAGGGATTAGATGCCTATAAATATATTGGTTGTATCCCTAATGAGTTGTATCACCATTACTATGAATATAAGAATAGTTTCACTCCCGTGGACGTAGGGACATTGCCGAACCACGTAAATCTTGTCTTTCTTTACCCTTTCTGCCATTATTATTGTTTTTTGTTCCTGTTAATCTCAAAATGCTCTCTCTCTCTCTCTCTATATATATATATATATATATATATATATATATATATATATATATATATATATATATATATATATATAGGGTAGACTTCATATGAGATAGCCTAGTTAGATGAGAAATAAGACTTAATCGTAGCCATTTGTAAACAGGAACGTAGGGTTGAGATTTGATATTTAGATTTTAATATTAGATGTTACATTTCAGCGCATTAATCATAATAATAATCTTTCGAAGGGCAATTTGGTCTTAGGGTGCTAAAGCGGTGATCGAAATTAGAGGAAAACCCCGACTTTCACTCTTCCGTTCCTCTAGCGTGTGTAGGAGTCCGAGAAAACAACGAAGAAGAAACCAAACTACGGCGTAACGCACTGCCATTGACATAAAGCTATGGTTGGATAGAGACGACGAGTAAAACGACGACGAGGAAAAAGAAATTGATCTGAAAGCAGAGGTATGTTTCAAATTTTTTTTTTTTTATCTTTTTTAAATATGGGTGTTTTCGGCTGGTAACTGGCAACCCAGATGAGGGTACCGACGATTTAGAAGTCGGACGAGGTAGAGGGTGAAGGTTTTGTGGTTCGCTAGGCGGATTATCCGTCCGACATTGTTTAACCCAACCACGGGCGTGAGGGAATTACTGAAGGTATCGGGGTAAATTGATGGGGGGAGGGATGATTCCGAAACTACCAACAACGTGTAAAAATGGGATTCCTCATGTGACTATAAAGATGAAATTCTAAGTTTTGAGTGGGAGGAGAAGACACACAGGGTACACACAGTAGGATATATCGTAGCCCACAATTATGTGGCATGCCCTTAACAATTATCTTTCATCTATGTGTCATGCTCTTTAGAATGTTGGAGTTTCCCCATAACTGATTATACAAAGCTTCTGCTAGGAATGTTTTCAGCATGTGCAACCGATTAAAAACACTTTGTGATGTGTAGTTGAGTATTGAATATTTGAGTTAGTTTAAACACTTTTGTGTAGGCGTTATTGGTTCTTTGTGTTTCAGTAGGTTGAGAAAGTATATGAACAGACACTACAATGTAATAGAGGCAGTAGCATTCAAAAAAAAAACACTTTTGTCCTTAAGCTGAACTGGTGGGGTAGTACAACTGAAGATAATACAAATTGTCACCAAGCATGTGAGGTGGAAATGGTATGTTCACTAACAATATTAAAATTTCAGTTATTGGCACATGGTTTGTATGTATAGTGCACACAGTAGGACATATATATGGCCACAGGTGCACATGAGTGTTCTCTGAAGTGCACACTTGGCAGGGCACACATGCACACGATGCAATCATTTTTTTTTTCAAACTAGTATGTATACTCGGTTTGTTGCACTTAAAGTTTATGGCACACGGTGAGGTTGGAAAGTGCACACACAGGGTGCACACAATAGGATATATATAAGCCCACAGGTGCACATGATTAAACACTAAATTGCACACTTGGCAGGGCACACAAGCACTCGGTGAGATTGGAAAGTGCATACACAAGGTACGTAAGTGCACATAGGGTTAATTGCAGGTGTTGTTAACATGTGGATTTTTTGTTCCCATAATAGCCATTTGATGAGTGAGCCCTGCAGAAGATGGACCGCCTTGAAGAAGATTGTGGTGGACCTAGAGCATTTGATTGAGGAGACTGATGGCGTGACTGTGAATGAAGAAATATTGTGGAAATTTCAAGACACAACCCAACACCTAGTGCGAATGCAGGGAAGTCGTGGGATCAATTTGACACCACCCACTGATCCTTAAGAGACACAGCGTGATAACTGAACTAGAAGTAGTCAAATTATTAGGAAATGGTTAATTATGTTTACTTAGTTATGTTTTTTTTAACACACCATATTTAGTGGTGCCTCGTTACTTCAGGTTGTGGTCTTGGATCGACTTGTAGTGCACACGTATTTTTGTTACAATGCATCATTTGCAGACATTGTTTAGAAACGGTAAATAGTCCAGACCAATAACAGGTGAGGGCCTGAGTAGCAGTGAGCACTCTTCACTTTTTGAAATGCACAAATGCTTAATGGCACACAGCAAAAATTGACAGTGCACACAACCACATACTGAAAATCAAATGAGATCAGCCTCATTCACATAGTGCAGTTAACAGGTGCATACGTTTGTGTATAACCACACAGTGTGCCCCATTATACTGTTGGTGTGGTAGGTTTCAGCAGTCACGCACACACCACAAAGTAATTGCACATACTAACCAAAACAATTTCTAAATCATCTATTTATAGTGAAAGTTGGGAGTAACAACGTGGAGCAGACTAGGAAACATATGTAATTATTGGCATTAAACCATTTGAATAGACATTTGCGACTGTCATGACATTCATAATGCCTTCACAAAGATTGGTTATGCCATGTAACCCTATTAAAGTTGTGTGCACACTATATGAGTGCTAATGGCACACGGTCATAACCTTATGGTGAACAAATCCACGCGTCAAAAATCTTCACTGTAAACGACACACAGTGGTATTCTTGGATGCACACACCACGTACTGGACAGAAACTGAGTGTATTCTAACATGCACACATTGAATAACTTAGGTGCACACAAATGACAAAACATATGTACGTCAATGCCTTCTAATAATGGGGAAAAAAACGACAAGCATATAATAATATCCAGATTAAACCTACAGATATAAACAATGTGTAATGTTAAACATTCAAAGAATTTCTAAACGCACACGTCTGTGTGATGTCCATCATATTTGTGGCTGTCATGCCAATCATTTTTTTTTACACAAGTCTTTAGGGAGCAATTGCAGCTGTCATGTCCATCAAATTTGTGACAAGTCTTGCACTCTCGTGTAAACTTTGCAGCAATCTCTTTAGCCGAATTGAACCACTTCCCAGAATCCTTATTCTTAGCAACGGTTGGTGTGTAGACAAGAATATCAAGAGACGTGAACACCTCACCCCATCTATTCTTCAAATTAGTGCTACGCCGAACGTTGAACCCAATAGTAGAAACATAGCGGATATAGAACTCAACACCAACATCCAACCTGCGAAACCTCCGAAACCTCCGACCAATAAATGACTTCATCAACATGTCACACACTGGGTCCCAATACTTTGTACGTCCAGGAAAAATATTCATGACACACCCGGGAGAATCATTTGTTGGTTCTTCGCCAGGTGTGAAAAATGCATCCATATGGTAATGCGGGGAATAAACACAACCAATGAGCTTAAAATGCATAAACAATATAACGTGTTGAGAGGTAGTCTGCACTTTAGCTAAACACTATGTGCACAAACTACCAAACATAGAATTAAAAACATTGTTTTGGCTAAACTTGCAGATGATTGAACACAATTTATAAGTAAGAATCCCACGACCAGAAGAGAACACATAAAATAATTCCACTTGGTATACTACCCTTCAAACAACATAAAAAACCAAGAACTAATGATAATGAAGACCTGCACATAACATGATACAGACATGTACACATTCGTAAAAAAAAAAAAAAAAAAAAAAAAAAAAAAACAATTCAGCAATATAAAGTGTTGAGTCGTAGTGTGCACTTCAGATGATCACTATGTGCACAATCTACCAAACACCGAAGAAATAACATTGTTTGGGCCCAACTTGCGGATGAAGGGTCGTTATATTATGCACCGCGCGGCAGACACTACAGTGTGTTTAAACCGACACTGTCAAAACGACGTCGTTTTATTTAAGTAAAGAAACGGCCCGCAGTTAGAGTTAACGGAGTCCGCTTGTTTGGTGTATTAAACACCAATTGACACTACAATATATCTAAACCGACACTGCAGTTATATCAAAATGATACTGTAGTTATAGTGAAATGAAACTGTAGTGTATATAAAATGAAACTGAATAACATTTCACATATTTGAGTGTATATTGTACAATGAAGCTGTAATTATATCAAAATGATCATGTAGTTGTGTTTTAATGAAACTATATTGTATATAAAATAAAAATAAATAACATTTTCACATATTTGAGTCTATAAATATCGAATGAAACTATAATTATATCGTAATGAAACTGTAGTTGTGTTGAGCTGAAACTGCAGTGTATACAAAATGACACTGAATAATAGAGTTACTTTTTGCAAAAGGGTGCGAAACAGCGAAAACAAACACCGTTTATTTTCATTTAAAAAAAGACGCGCGGTGCATAATATAATTTGCCGCGGATGAATGAACACAAATTGTGAGTAAGGATCCCACGACCATAAGAGTACAGATAAAAGAAAAAAGAAAAAAGAAAAAAAAAACTAAGGATAATGAAGATGATAGAACACAGATATAGACGGCAGAATAGAAACATGCACACCGCAGGATACCGACATGCACACATTTGCGGAACACAACATAATTAAACGAAAAAAATAACTAAAACCATTGGAAGACATACCTTCATGACCGTATCCATGCTTCGACAGCGATGAAGAACGACAACTAAAAAGGTGAAGAAAATGACGGAAGTTGACAGAAGCCGATAAAAACTACGGACACCCATGATCAAAGAACAAAGTGGAATCCTACCAAAATTAAAACAACTAAAATCTTGCATAATATATGATTAGAATTGCAGTAAAAAAAAAAAAAAAAAAACACCCATAGACAATTACATATAAAGCCCTAGTAATTAATATTAAAAGATAAAGGAAGAAAAAAAGGAATAATCTCAGCCATCAAAACTTTAGAGATGGACGCTCAAAATTAATTCTTATTTCTCATCTAAATAGGTTGTCTCATTTGATTATAAATCTATATATTATATATATATATATATATATATATATATATATATATATATATATATAGAGAGAGAGAGAGAGAGAGAGAGAGAAAGAGAGCATACCTATGCTTTTAAGTGCAAGTGAAGAACAAAAAGAAGTAAATCTCTATATTGAAATTCCAAAAGTGAATCAACTAGCAAATTTATACTACAAGTTCAACTAAAAACAACAAAGTAACGCATACAAAACAAGAAAAAGCAAACCAAAAATAATCTCATAAGTGAAAAAGAGAACTTACAACACTGATTAAGCAAAGAATTTGACAAGCTCGACAACACTTGAGTTCGGCTAAAGGTTATATAGGAGGTTGATGGCTACATGACATTTTTCTTCACGGGCAGTCCTCTACCATCCATTTGGGTTCTTTATTGAGATTATCAGTTATTTCTATTTTGTGACCCTGTTATTAGCTTTAATATATATTTATTTGCCTTTAAAAAAATTTAACAATTAAGTTATTATGCTATAGTATTTATATATTATATTTAGTTCTGTTATGGATTTTGAATTTTAATGTATATTTATATTAGAATTCTGAATTATTTATTAATATAAGAAATAATTAGTACACGGCTGGAAATTATGGAATTTTCGCCTACTTGAAAGTGATCTTAAATCAAGTCGAAAGCCAAAAGTGGTCGGAAATAGCAACAAAGGTTTTTCCGGATGCCAAAAGTAGTCGGAACAAGGCTTTCGACTTGATTTAAGAGCACTTGTGGTGGGAAATTCCATAATTTCCAGCAGTGGAATACAGGTTGGGTGGAACGTAACGGATGCAAATTTTTAAATTGTACACTTCGAGATGAATTGTGAAATTACGAGAATGAAATATACCGTGGGTAATAAATACAATCAATTAATCTTAGACTATTTCGGATCAAGGTCATCTCTAGCTAGATTACGTGTAATAAAGCTCTATTATTATTAAAAAAAAAAAAAACCTTTGTCTTTTCTACACAGATAAATCTAAGTCTTTTATTATACTTTGCTTTGAGATATTGTCAAATGTGATATTGAGAACCTTTTCATTGTAAAAGGATTCGGACGCATTAATTAAGTTGCGACCAAATTGAAAATCATTTGTTATTTAGCATCAAGCCACAAACTAATATCAAACAACAATTGACATTTACTTTACATTATACTTAGTTATTTTTAATTGAATTTATGAACACTACATTTTCTCACTATATTTATGAATGTCAATAAAAGAAAGAATTATAAACAAATGCCTGGTTTAATACAAACCACAGACATTTGCTAAATCTTGCTTGTATAGAATTATTTTTTTCGATATTAGTAAGTGGTGAATTTTAAAATTTGTACTTGTCACAAATTAAAATTAAGTGTATATATATACATAAATACATACACCATCCATATAAAATTTGCTCCGCCCAATATTTTAAATATGAACTTTAATATGAGATGAATGAAATTTACCTTTAAAATTTTTGAACAATTAAGATATTATGTTATAATATTTATATGAAGACAAAGAGAAATACGAGAGATCAACTCAGACCAAAAAATGGAAGGGTCTAACTCTCGGACAATCATCAAATAAGAAGGAAGGACGAAAGATATGGTTTATCTTTCAAAGTAACCTCTCCGAGACAACAAGTCTAAGTCAGACAATCTTTATCAAATGAAACAACAAGAATGTTGTCGACGTCTCAACTGAGCAATCATTCTAGACAAAAGGTGTTCTAGGAATGATATTCACAAAAGCCGAGGACCATTAAATGATTGGTACTCTCTTGTCAGTGAAAAGGACGAAAAGATATGTAGCTTTTTATCACCAACGGCTACACAGTACAGTGGTATTAAATTCTCTACGCCCATTGGTTATTACCTGCTGGTTATAGGTTCGAAATTTCATCTCCCTCCAACGAATGAATTTCACCTCACCTA